TGGACGGGGCACACAAAGCTTGTGGTGTCTGTCTGCTGGAGTCGAGATGGTCAGAGAGTCTTGAGCGGATCTAATGATGGGACTGCAAGGCAATGGGGCATGGAAAGTGGAGAAACCATACTGGCACTGATCAAGACAGGACACAATGCTGTGTGGGCAGTCGTCTATTCACCAGACATGTCCTTGATTGTGACTGGATGGGAGGAAACCTCAGGGACTGGAAAACGCGAGTGCTCAATTCAAATCTGGGACACAAAGACAGGCAGGCTTGTTGCATCTCTCAAAGGACACACAGTACAAGTGCATTGCCTGGCTTGGACCGAGGATGGGAAGACCCTTATCTCCGGGTCATTCGATTACTCCATTAGGACATGGGATACAACCAAGTGGGAGCAAACCACCTGTGACTCCCATGTATTGCATCTAATTAGACGTGATTATAGATAGGGCTAGCACGTCTAAAATGACAGACTTACAGTGCTTCCAAGCCTCCTTCAATATCTCTTGGATAAAGAGCGACTTATAATAACAGTAGCTATAGGTAAGTAAGTGTGGGATGTTGGTGCTAATGTTCCTGCCATCCGTTGCCACACGCCTGCCATGTGAACCTTTGTGCCCATCGTCATACATGATGAGCTCGTTAAATGGGATATATTGACAGTGCGTTTTGACACTAAGCATGATAAATGAAGTACATTGCGACAGCATGATAGGTAAACTAGACTACTCCTCCACTTTCAAGAACAATACACTACTGGTCCTCAACCTCTTCCTCATCAGATGAGACAATGAACTCCGCACTTCTGAGAGCCTCGTGATCCTGGGAAGGATTCTTTTTGGCCTTCTTTGACAACTGTTTGCTCTCCTTGTCTGTGTGACCCATGGTTGACGCAGTCTTGCGCTTGCGAGACTTGCCAGCGTCCAAACGTTTCTTGTGTGGGTGCTGAACAGCTTCCCCTGCTGAACGGTGCGCATTGAGTTTGGCAGTGTGGGCTTTGACTTCCATGGGCATCAGAACAGTCCAGTAGCATGTCCAGCCCTTCAGTGCATCATGAAGCTTCCGGATCTCACCAACAGTCCCGATGTTTGAGGGACTGATGAAGTTGACATCTGCGGGCCATCCTACAAGCCAAACCGCATATGTTTCAACAATTGCTGTGTCATAGTTGTTGTAATTCATTGCAATATCTTTTTCCCTGTCACTGCAACTGTCAAAGACATTAGATGAGTATCGCATGTCCAAGTTATGAAGCCTCACTGAGTCCATGGACAATGAGTTTTCGAACTTGCTTTCGCACGGCTTCCAATGAGTCGCGCTCAATAAGATCTGTAGGTGTTTGATAAGGACAGTGGATGTGTGAAGATATGAGTACTTACTTTGATTTTGTGTGCAAGCCCACTGCTCATACTGTTGGAGGAAGTCAGCCATTGGAAGGTCATATACATCCTCCCAAAAGTTGTCTGAGTTATCTGTGCCATGCATTGTACTTTGGATTGTGTCGTTGATGTGACCACGAATGACAAATAAAGTTCTGTAAGTGCCTGTGTGAACACACAACTCATCAAGCTTCAAAGTGAAAATAGGTTTAGTAGAATACATGCAACAGCTGGAGAGCTCACCTCCTTGACAATCCTTTCCATTGTGACCAAAATGTCTCGTGCAGTGGCCATGTTATTTGCTTGCACGTTACTTACCTTTTGCTCATGGTGCTCACTGAGAGCAGCCACATAAGTGGCCTTCTCATCCCTCATCAAATTTTGCATCTGGGGGTCCTCAGCGATCATTTCACGCAGCTCAGTCAATGTATACTGAGAGCCAATAGGTTGGTCTTATTGTGACAGAACATGAGTATGACTATGAGAGTAAGGAAAGGGATTTAGCATACCACTGTTCATCTCCTTGGCTTTGGCATGAATGAGGGCATTAGTCAGGTGAATCTTGCGCATTGTGTGATACTTGGTCTGACTACTAATCATGTCATTGATATGTTTCAGAGTCACATGGTGAGCGTGCAAGAGTAACTCAACTGCATGTTTCTGTTCTTGCAGGTGTCTGACGATGGCATCATGTAAATGCTTCATGATTTCTGTCCTCTGGTCCTTCTTTATTTTCCGGGAGGCCTTCTGGGCATCTGACAGCCGAGCTGCTGTGGTCTGGCAATGAATTATGGGATGTGATTGGTTTCGTGCTGCCCAGGTGGATGAATTGGCATCATGGAGGGGCTCTGCCAGTGACTCTCCGGCAGCAGGGGATAGTGTGTGAGAGGCAGGAGTGAGTTCACATGTGTCAGGTGAAAATTCAGCAATGAAAGGAGTAGGAAGGACTGGTCCATTGTTGACAGCTGCTAACTCATCACGAGTCAGCGGCATCAGATATAATGATGGGTCCTCCATGTCAATACCATCCCAAAATTGGGGTGCATTGTTTGATCCTGTTTTTGAAGATCAATAAGAGCAGGAGACACACATACACAACATACCTTCATTTTCATTGAACATCCCCATGGAATATTCAGGTCCTCCATTGGCAATGAAATTTCCGTTGGTGTTGAAGTCATTTTCAGAGAAAATGAAGCTCATGTTCATCTGTGCAGGTAAGGAGTGTTGTTGCAGGGACACGATTAGAAGAAAAAAAGTGCTTGCCTCAGGAACCTGAGAATCACACCAACATATTAGGACAACAACATAGACAGGTCAATGAACCCTATAAAAAACGTCATTAATATCAATTGTTAGAGTCATATCAACTTACTATCATACTTTTTGGGTCGCGAATTAGAGGAAGTTGATCGGGGGCGATAAGACACATCTCTGCTGGGATGACCTCAGTGTGATCCTTTAATCCAACTTGAATGCCAATGATGTTTGGATAGGTTAGATCCTTAGATCCAACTTGAATGCCAATGATGTTTGGATAGGTTGGTTGCTGGGATGACCTCATTGCAGATCCAACTTGAATACTGATGGTGTTTGGATGGGTTAATTGGTGACCGAGTGTTGACAGTGACCTTCCTTTTACTAATTCGCATCCTACAAAATGGATGAGGGGGAATCCCCAAGGTAAGGACACAATTGCAAGATTAACTTAACATTATAGTCAAACCTCGAAAATCTCACGACCTCTATCCAACTTGAATGCCAATGATGTTTGGAGAGGTTGGTTGCTGATGACCTTGTCGCAAATCCAACTTGAATGCCAATGATGTTTGGATAGGTTGGTTGCTGGGATGACCTCATCGCAAATCCAAAATGGTGTTCAGATAGGTTGGTTGCTGGGGTGGCCTCATCGCAGATGTTTGGATGGGTTAATTGGCAATTGAGTGCCAACAGCAACTTTGTTTTACTAATTTGCATTCTATTAAAATGTAAGAGGGGGAATCCCAAGGTAAGGACACAGTTGCAAGATTAACATTAATATTATTATAAGTTTGAGTCAAGAGAAAATCTCATGACCCACCCATTTCCCCTAGTACCAAGTCTTGATTTTCGGTCTTCATACTATATGGTATCTAAAATGCATTCTAAGCCTCATCAGCAGAGTCCTCCTGTTACTCTGAACAGGCAGCGCATAGCTACTAAGCATTGGCTTGCAAAACCAGGGTAAGTTTTTTCTTTCTTTTCAATTCAAGTCAAGATGATTCCCTGCTATTTCAGAGTTCAAGACATGCAAAATGCAAAGGCACACATTCAGATGGTGAGGTCAGTCTAACGTTCACTCTCAAGTTGAAAGTTTGTACTTAAATACAATTGTAAGGAAGCGAGCCAAGTACAATTACCATTGTTTACTACCATCTGTTCCTGTTGCTGACTGCACCCATAGCAAAAAAAATGCCCCTGCAGAGGCAAATACACATGTCCCTTTGATCAGTTCACCCACACTTGATGGTCTTGATTCTTGCAATATCACTCCTGAGGTTGACGATGGATCTATACTCACTATGGAGGATGACTTCTGGTGTTCCTGCAACTTGCTAACCCTGCAAAGCATTGAGAACACCGCCAACTGCTGGCAAAAGGGATGGTCCCGGGAGTCTGAACATTTGTGGGATGATGCATATGAGAAACTACTCAAAGGTGCACAACAGAAGGGGGTATGAGAGACTACTATTTTTCTTGAGGAGTGTGGTGCACATGCTTTGGAGGGGAGGGAACTTCTTGAAAGTATCCAAGACATTGTGCATACCAGTTGCCCATATTGCAGGGAGTGGCTCAAGTACGATATCATTATACTACACAATTTGCTCATTTGCATTATTTCAGAGGTCAAATTCTTTGAAGTTAAAGTAGCTAACAGTAAAACTAGGTAGCTTGTAACTATGATAAGATGTTGAACAATGTCATATCGAAATGATGGCGAACAGATATCCAAACAATAGTGAACACATGTTGAATTGATGGTGAATGCATGTCAATTCGATGGGGAACATAGTGAAATGATAGGGAATGCATAGCGAACTGATGGCGCACACATGGTGAATGATGGCAAACATATAGCACACATTGTTGTATCTCCCAAAAATTGAACTTCCATAGAATTCTAAACCATACTGACTGCATTAAAGGTTAGAATCTGTTATATTCAAGCAATCAAAATGTGTAGCAGGTGCAGTGGGCCCAGATTAAGGACTATGATTGCATCTCACTGTCTAATCACCAATTACGAACATGCAGACTCTAGTTAAGGTGACCCCACATTTGTGTAGTCCAATGTCATTCAGTTATGGTTGCATATATACATCGATTTTTTAATCACGCAGAGTAGCTTGCACATTTTGTGAACTGAGCATAATAAAGATTCCATCACAAAGGTTTTACAAGTACTATGTGTATACATGGCTGAGACAGTGAACTACTACAAAGGTATCTACTATCTAGAGTTCACAGTGTGTCATCATCTCCAACAAGTCATCAACCTGTGACCACAGTCCATCTGAGTCAGAGGATGAAGAAGGAGAAGGTGGGGATGGAGATGGCCAGAAAGCGCCGCCTGGAATTGGGACTGCTCGCACTTTGCCTGCATGGTATTGGACAGTATATACTTCAAGCGCCTCCTGGAATGAAGGGTACCACTTCTGAACATTACCGCTAACAAAGTGGGTGCATTCAGCCACATCAGCCCTGATATGAATGTCAATACTAATATAAGTGAAAGTACAACAACACTTACCAATGGTAAAATATACTGACTTCTTGACTGACCATGATCACCCAGAACCCTTCAGGCTTCAACCCAGTATGTGGTAGTGTGATCTCACTGGGCTTTGGAATCTGCATAGCTGGCAGTGGGGGAGGTGCAGCACTTGTGGAAGATTGTGTGTGTGATGATTGGCTTGAAGACAGCAGAGGGTCTTGTGGATACAAGCTAGTGGATAGATCGGGTACTAGGGTGGGTTGATTGGCATGCAATGAGTTCATATGTGATGCTTTGGAAAGGGTGATAGTCTCTTTGACAGTCTTGCACTTCCAGGTCACTGTGTCCAAAGCTGAACCTATTCAAAAATGTGAGTAAGTGACTGTTTGTTAGATCACATAGACCTGTGACCCTACCCGATATAGACATGCCTTCTGTCATATCCCATATGCCAGACATAGATCCCATCATATTCCCACGCTTTCTGGACCTATTCCTGGACCCCATATCCAATTCATTCCTGGATCCCCTATCCTGTCCACCCTATGCACATTCCATCCAGCAAGACATCCAGACTTTACCTCCTCTTGGATTCTGGACTACATCCACCACCTCACATATCTCAGTCCTGTTTCCGCCCTGCCTTCCAGATCCCCAGATCTCTGGACCTCCGGATATTAACTGTACTATCTCCAGACCTATTCCCACCCTCTGTCCAAGATCCTGGGCCTATCCCCATTTAGGCATCTCTGCCTTTCTGGTTCTCGGTTATCTCTGTTTCTGTCTTGCTGATTGATCCTTGTACTAGTTTCATCTCCAAGTTCATTTACTTATGTTCTGTCTTACTTACCAATGTGTTTCCACATGCTCGTACATAGCCTTACTCCTTTGCTTACTGATCCTCTCAGATAGCCTCTAGTATATAACCCCTGTACAACTACAGTAGAGTCCTCAGTCTGAATATCACCTTAGATCTGCCCAATCATCTTCTGGACTTCAGTCCATCTGAGTCTTGTCCTTTTCTGTAAGGCCTAGGGAAGGATTCCCTAGGCCAGAATTCTGGACCTTCGGATTTGTCCCCTATGTCTCTGTCCCAAGTCTAGGGATTGCTTCCCTAGGCTAGAGTCTTGCCTTTCCAGCACTTACCCTCTTTCTGGACTTAGGTCCACTTCCTGTCCCTCCGACTCTACCTTAGGGTAGTCTACCTCTGTTTGCTTCTACATTGGACTTTGTCTGATGTAGCCCCTATTCCTTCTGGACCTCCAGACCTCCTGTCTTCTGTACCTCCAGATGTCCTGTCCCTCATACCTCCAGGCATCCTGTCCTTCAGATGTTCCACCCTCCATACCTTTGGACGTTCCATCCTCTGTACCTCCGGACCTCCTGTCCTCCATACTCCGGACCTCCAGACATCCTGTCCTCCAGACCTCCTATCCTTCCATCCTGTTTTCCTGTAGAAGTATTACCTTGCAGCAGGAACTCTCCTGAGCATTTCCTGCATCCCTCCGGAACTCTCCCATGCTCCTCTGGAAGTCCTCCCACACTCTCCACCAGAGTAGCCAGCCTCTGGAAGTCCTCTGGACTTTGTCGGACCATCATCGGACTTCCTCTGAAATGAAGGGCACATACTCAGGTAAGGGGCACAACGTACGAGCTGAGGCCAAGCCCCTCTGAGTCAGTCTCTCTTTCCTTTGAGCATGGTTCTTAACACCTTCAAGCAACTGGTGTAAGTCCCGGATGTGATCATCATGGTGGGAAACAACCGACGGTGAGGGAGTGCATGACATTGCAGATGTGAGAAACTTAGGGAAATGGTTGATCAAACACGGGGGATAGATGGAAATGCATGTGAATAACAATGATGATTAGTCACAGCCAAAGTCCAGAGCATGTATGTACCATACCTGGCTTGTCTGAAAAAAAAACTTATGCATAATCTGGGAGGACAACAAACACAGTGAGTCTGCACCAACATCTCTCTGCGGTCTATCCATCATATAGGTTCCTCACAAGATAAAAATGGGCTTCCCATCAACTGTGTGTCGAAGGTGGTCAAACACAGAGTGTTGGTTCAGCAAGCAGCCAACTATAAACAATGGCAAGAGACTCGCCTACAAGGTGAGTGTCCAGGTGCTCAAAAAGATCAGAACAAAACACTAACCTGGTTCATAGCAATGACAGCCATTGAACGCCAAGCTCTGGAAGCTCTCAGAGATCCCCCGACTTTCTCACTCAACATTGATGAGGACTTGGAAGATTTTAATTTTGGTGATGTATTGGATGGTACTGATACACTCCCCATCAGCAATGCTGGTGGGGAGTTTGGAGACCTAGCAAGAGGTGTTCTGGGTGAGGTCTGGAGATTGTGAGTGTGTGTATTAGCAGATGCTCAGCAATTGACATGCACATCAGAAAAGTCCATAATGATGGTGCTCGCAGGGTTCAACGTGTTGACAATTGCATGCACCATGATCATGTTCTGTGGAGGAATGTCACTTTTAATGAGCAAATACAAGTGATGAGCAAAGCATACATTATATGGAGCCTTGAGAAATCACAGAAAGGCTTCAAGAATTTTTTTGATCATCTATGCAGTGAAGAGACAGATGAGGTGATTGACTTCAATGGTGGCCAATGGCCAGTGACTGTGATAGATGCATTCTGTGAGTTACCACTTCGAAGTTTGTTTATCTTAAGATTTTGACGTTATTTGTTCAACAGTTGCTGAGAAAGTCATTCTTCAAATATCATCAACAGACCATACAATTGCCTCTGCACTGGTTTGTCAAGGTGTTATGCCTTGCTCGCCAATATCACCAGCCACAGGCATAACATCAGAAGCTCTTGAATTATATCATGTGGTGCACCTGAGGAGCCCTCATTTATCAATCCAAGCATTCATTAAGACCATGTGTGATTTACACAGAGTACAACTGTCTCATCTCAAGTCCTGTGGTTCTCTATGTTAAACATATACAGGTTGAATTCCACCGGCACCTCTCACACCAATTTTCGATTGCACTTGACTTATACCTTCAGATAAGACGGGTTGTGGCCTCACTTGTGGCAGAATTACTCCAATGCAACTCACCTGACTGGCGCCTCAAACACACTTGTCCAGCATGCACTTACACACTAACTGGTGAACATCAGCTATGCTTCAAGATCCTATATGCCATGGACGGGAACAACTCCTTGAAATGAATTTTACAACAGTCACTTGACAATGACAATGACTCTCTTGGTGCATCGTCTGAGCTTCCCACTGGCCAACTGCTTGTTAGTGACCATTATCTATCTCATAACTTTGTCGACCAGTTTGCATGGGATAGCCTACATACTACAGGGGACAATGTGAGTGATTGATGCAGAGCTTCTATAGAAACTAACTATCAATTAGAGCCTGGCAGATAACTCATGCGAAGGCTGGTGGAAAAATATGGACGACACAAAGACAAAAAAAGCATGGGGTATCTATGATGAAACTGGTATCTTTGTCGCTGTCTGCCGCCACAGCTTTTGTTTGCTCATCACAGACATGGTGCAGAGCAGGGAGCTGTGAGTGATATGTACTTTTGTTTGATGTTTCTGACAGGTGTTCCTACAGTGCAAAATATCCTCTAGCTATTGTTGCCAAGTTGCTAGATGCATTTGGTGGTGGTTTGGGTGGTGGTTATGACATTGGCTGTCAGTTTCGGACTACTCTGGACAATAGCTCTCTTGGACCCCTTGTGTGCTCATTATGTCATACATGCCTGGTTGGTGCATTTCATGGACATGCGCACAAGCGGTTATGTCAGCTTTTTTCACTGACAACCTATATCAAGGGTCTTGGGATAGAAGATTTGGAGACTTGCAAGCGGACGTTCTCCAAGTCAAATGCCCTTGCATTGGCTCTACAGTATAATAGTGTGTTCCATCATCAACAGGCCATTGATTCATACTTTGAGCATAACAATGAGTTTGAAGTATATGGCAATCTTTGTATGTCAGTCTCTTCAAGTGATCATACATGATGCACTCACTGACATGATTATCTGGGGGCTAGCAAATTTCTTGCACAGAAACTACAAGCAAGCTCTCGAGATCCTAGAAAACGGCAAGTTTGTCCTACTGAAGGTTATGCAAGACCTCAGAATCAAGGATGAGAGCATTTTTGAACGCTGGCTTGAAGACGAGAAAGCCTACCTTAAGGATCTAATGCAAGAGCCTGAGGAAGAGACGATTCAAATGGAATACTGGCAGAGATTAGTGAATCTCAGTGCGAGCAGGTGAGCTTAACTTTTCATGTATGTATCTCATGGCCACTGATACCCCCTCAAATAGTGTTGCTCTTGACATGGCAATGAACTCCTTCACACCCTCTCAGCACAATACTCTACCATACAGTGCAGATCTTGCAAACACACGCAAAGCCAAGACCACACATTGTCATGCTCTTGAGGACTATGAGAGAAATTTAAGGTTGGTTCAAGCACTGGAATGCAAACTCAAGGTCATCACTCGATGGGTTCCAGAAGACGGAGAGTGGCAGAGGGTGGGGAGGCTTGTAGCTAACAGGAAGTATCAATGTGCACTAGACTGTCTAGAGGGTTTGGTTGTTGCTCGTATTTTTGAACTTGCAAAGATGAACAGGGCAGGGACAGGTGAGTTCAAGTCAAGCTTGATTTGTTTTGGTTGATTCTATCTATGGTTCAAGGTTACAAACTATGAAAACACATTGCGAGGGCTTTGCAGACACGTTCTGCTGCCATCAGATCCGCCCTCGACACATACAATAAGCTTGCCAGTGCGGTGTACCCTCCCCGGCAGATACTCAAGTGGGAGGAGGTCGTCGAGTACGCCTTTCTTGCTGACTTTGATCTGCTATGAAACACACACTCCAATGTATCTCAATTGCCCTGGTCTTCACCAGCAGCTCGGAGTGCAATGGATCTTTATTTCAAAATGCGTCGAGCATGTGAGGAGATTTGTCATCTAAATGTTGAGGTTTGCTGCCTGGTTACCTATATACATGATGAAGACAAGTATCTGCGGGTGTGTGAAGATCAGCTAATGGTTGTTAATCCTGCTCTTGCCCATCAGATTGCTATACATCAGAATGTTC